TCCCGTTCCTCCGTTCCTCCTCCTGCTCCTCCTGCGCCGTGCGCATGCGCTCCCCCTGCCCCTCCTCGCCGCCCGCATTCTTCCCCCCGCTTTGCACCGGGGGCGTTGCCCGCAAGGAGCCGACGACAAAAAGAAAGCAGGCGGGCCGACAAAAAACAACACGTGGACCGACAAAAAACTTGCCCGACAAAAAAAATTGGCCCCGACAAAATGGGCCGACAAAAAAAACAGAATCCCCGACAAAATGGTCCGACAAAAAAAGCACTGGCCCGACAAAAAAACCGGCCGTCGTGACAAAATGTTCAAAAAAGTGCAGCGACAAAAATTATGTTTGGCATCGGCGGCTGGGCGGATGTACTGTACATTCAGAGCTACGGCGCTTGCCCCTGCGATTTTGTCGGGCATTTTGTCGGGCACTTTGTCGGGCAGTCTGGCCGGGCATTTTGTCGAGGCGGTCCAGTTCCGCCCCGCGCTTGCGCCGCTTTCGCTTCGCGGTGAGCACCCCCAAGGGCCGCCCAGTTGCAGGGGCGGGAAAGGGGGGTGGGCGGGGGGGGGGGGGCGAGGGGCAGCGGGGGCAGGATTTGATCATTCCCGCGGCATCTCCCAAGGGGAAGACGGTGCGACGACGCCGACGCCGATGCCCCTCCGTTGCCGTTATTCTGTCTGGCTCCATAGGGCGGTGCTCTTTGGCGCGGCTGAGCGCGGCTTGAAATTCGCGCCATAACCCGAGAGGTTCCAATGCGATCCCAGAGGCCTTTCATATCGCCGACAAACAACCCAACAGGCCCCCATGAGGTCCCTCGACACGACGCCCCAAACGGATCTCAAGACTGTCCAAGAGAGCCCCAGAGGCCCAACAGGACCCCATCACCGCCCGAGGAGGCGCTCAAGAGAGCCCCAGGAGGGCCACAAGGGCCCAGGTGAGTTCCAGATGCATGCCGATGTGGACAGGACATCTCGAGGCCAACGAGGGTGGCGGTCAGGGTTGTTGGCCGACGGAAGCATGGGAAGAAACCGCACTCGTGACGGTAAGAAGGGCCAAAGTCACGACGATTTCACGATGCAAAAGGTTCAACACTTGACCCTTCCAATGTTCATCGCCGGCTATATTCAAGGCTCCCAGAGACGGCCGACGTTGCTCAATGCGATCATCTGCGAGGGTCGGAAGTTCGATGCGGTCGCCCAGTGGCTCCAACAGCGCCCCAAACTGCTTGAAAACAATACGAGCGCCCGCAAAGATGCTGCAATTGGTCAATGTAGGCGCCCCCGGGGCGCCACCAGACTGCTAAGACGAAAGAGAAGATGGAATTGGCGTTCGCGCCCTCGCCTCAACGGGTTGCAGAACGCCCAGCACGCCCCGAGGGGTAGCACAAATCGCCGCAGGATGGCCCGGAAGAGTTCGGAGGAGGTAGGCGCGGCCTACAACCTCCCCCTCGCGACCCCCCCCCCTCGTTCCCCCCCCCTTCCTGCTCCTCCTCCGTCTTCTCCTCTTACCCCCCACTTCCCCAGTAATCCCCCCTCACTTCCCTTTCATCCCCCCGCCCCCCTCGTCGCCCTCGCTCTCTTCCACTTCCCCCTGCCCCCCCTCGACGCCCCCCCCCCGCGCTCGGGCAACTCATGTTCCACGATCGCGTCGCGCTGTGGCGCCGAGCGCCCCGCGCCACGACGGTTGCGCGCCGCTTTCCGATTGCTCCACGGAGCGCGTCTGGCGAGATTCGAATTTGCAGTGCAAATTTGCGCCCCGCTGCGACTTCAGGATCTACCATCGCCCTCGCGCGCGCGCGCGTTCACCGCGATTCGCGCGCGTCTTGTTCGAGCGCGCACGTTGCGCTCGTGGTCGCGCTCGCACGCGGCTCTTTTGCGTCATCTTTTTCCCCGACCTTGAGGACGGGTCCCCGTTTAGTGCCCCCCTGGGGTGCCTGGGGGGGGGGGCCCGGGCCCCCCCCCCGCCCGCGGGGGGAACGCTGGCGGAAGCCGGCGGAAGATGGCGGAAGACGGCCTCATTTCGGCAGACATGATTCCGCGCGGCACGGGCGGCCCCAAGATGGTCGGCAAGATGTTCCGAGAGGAGGCGAGTCGCCATCAGGTCGATCCAGGCCGTCCAAGATCGCGCCCGGGTGGCCCAGGGAGCAAACAGGACGCTTCGGTAGGCTTCCGAGTGGCCCTCCCGGAGAGCCCCCAGTGTCAAAATGTATGCTTTTCTTCGGGTTGTAACATGTTTATTGGCTTTCGCGCCTTCGGCTTGCCGACGCGCCAAGACATCCCAAGAGGGCCCAAAAACCGCCCAAAGACGGCCTCAGAGGCCCCCAAGAACGCGCCCAGACACTCCAAGACGCCCTCGTGACGGCCCAAGAGGCCCCCGCGACGGCCTCCGAAGGCTCCAGGAACGGCCCAGAAATACCTCTAGAGTAGAAGCAGCAATCAGCATTTCAAGGTCGCCGCCCAAAATGACCCCCACGCGGCCTCCAGCAGGCACCAAACATCGCGCCCAGACGGCCCAGGGAGCTCCCAGGGCGTCTCGGGAGGCCTCCGAGAGGCCCCCCCCAGAGAGCCCCAAGCGTCAACGTGTATTGGTTTTCGCTGAGTGTTTGAAAGTTTCTCGGATTCCCACGCATTCGGTTCGCCGACTGTCCAAAACAACCCACGAGGGCCCAAAGACCGCACCAAGACGGCCTAAGAGGCCTCCAACAGAACGCTCAGACAGTCCAACATGCTCTCAAGACGGCCCAAGACGCCCCCGAACCCCCCAGGAGGGCGCTAAACGGGAACCCCTCCTCAAGGTCGGGGAAAAAGGGCCAGAATTACAAAGGTTCCACGTTCGGAAAAAGTCAAACATTTGACCCTTCCAATGTTATTCACCTTGTTTTGTCTCACAGCCCCCGCAGACGGCCGACGTGGTTAAAAATGACCATTTGGGAAAGTCGACAGCACGATGCGATCGCCCAAGGGCCCCAGTAGCACCCCGAACTGTTTGAAAACAATACGGGCGCCCGCAAACATTATAAACATGGTCGACGGAGGCGCCCCCAAGACCACGTCACCCTGCCAAGACAAAAGACATGGAAATGGCGTTCGTGCCCACGCTTTCGCAGGGCGCAGGACGCCCAACACGCCCCGAGGGGCAGCGAGAGTCGCCGCAGGATGGCCCGGATGAACCCAGAGGAGGTAGACGCGGCCTACAACCTCCACCTCCCCCTCGCGGCCCCCCACCTCCCCCTCGCCCCCCCCCCGGCCTGCTCCTCCCCCACCCCCTCCTCCTTATCCCCACTCGACCCCCCCCCAATCTCCGCCCCTCTCGCCCTTCCCCCCCTCGTCATCCTTGCGTTCCCCCATGCCCTCGTGCTCAATCCCCGTCGTTATCGCCAACTCCTTTTCCCCCCAGTCCTCCGGCTTGCCCCACTGCGCCCCCCCCCCGCCCTGCCCCCGCCCCGATCCGCGCGCGGGCGCGGGGGCGTGAGGGTCGGGGGCAAGTACGATGTTCAGATGCGACGCGGGGCACGACCTGCGCGCGGGCACAGATATCGCGACGGCTGGGGACAATCTATAACGATGCTAACATGTTCAAATTAGCCGAGTGGCACGATCCGTGACCGGGCACAGGGGTCGCAAAGGCCAGGGGCACGACTGGACGATGTTACAATCCGTCGACGGCGCGATTTGCGAGCAGGCACAAATATCGCGAGGGTCGGGCGTCCTCCAGGCGCCTGCGACGCGGCCGCGGGGCCCGCGCCGCGGGCGTCCACGCGTCATGGCGGAAACGCGCCATGCAACGTTGCGCAATGCAGCGGCTCACGTCACGGCGCACTGCGGAGCGCCGCTTCTTGCGCGCATGATGTGTGCGATTTTTGCGACACGCGCATTGAATATGTGTGTTTGGGCCTTAGGGGCAGTATCTGATGCATGCGTTATGACAACGTTGGAACAGCTTAAGTGATGGCAATAAAGATACTCGCGCGATGCATGGGTGGCGGTTGGCCCCATAGTCCAAGTTGGGACATGCGCGCGATGGCGCCATCCTTCGGCGCCACCAAAACAAATTTCAAAAAATGCAAAAATACTTGTCGGAGCTTCGGTTTTGTTTCCTGGTGGGCGCAAGACCTGGAAAAGGGGGGGGGGGGAGAATCAGCTCACGCATGCTTGATTTTCCCTGGCGCTTTCCGGCCTCCCTGGGAGGCGGCCATGTATGAGGATATGGGCCAGCGGCTGAACGGGCCGAAACCGAGCTGCATGCAGCAAAATTCCGTAACCCCCGCTTTCCCAAATCCCCCCCTTTCGTCCGCCACGATTCCTGAGGCGGGGAGGTGTTGGGCCATGCCCACGCGACTCTTGGGTGTCCCAAAACCGTGTGGTGACAGACCCGGCGGTGACCTCGAAATCCGCAAAGACCTCACCGCACGGTCCGACACCACACGGTTTTGGGACCCTGGAGGCTCCAGTCGCCCGAGACATCCTCGGAGAACGACCCAAGTCCCAAAACCGTGCGGTGACCCCGAATCCCCAACCGTAAAAACAAGGCTAGGATCGGGATAAATCGCTCCAGAAGCGCTCTCAGAGCGTCCGGAAAAAACGTCTGGAGCGGCCCGCGGCGCCCAATACATCCTCCAAACCGCCGATCCAGAGATTTCGGAGTTATCCCCCGATCCTATGTTGTCCCGATCTTCGCGTCGTTTCACCGATTACCACCGGTGTGGTCACCACCCGTTTAGGAGCCCCCGGAAAATCGGGCGGGGATCCATCCGGCAGCGAGCCAGCGGAGGAGTGACGATAGAGGGCGGGGCGTTTTCTGAGAGGGCCCGTGCGCTCCCCGGCCTCCGAAAAGCTCTGCAGAGACACCAATAAACTCTCAGAAGGGTGCGGCGGGCCTTCTCCTTCTCACTCCCCCCCCCTCGCGCACCGAGGAGGAGGAGGAGGAGCGAGGAGGAGGAGGAGGAGGGCGGAGGAGGAGGAGGAGGAGGAGGAGGAGGAGGTGTGGTCACCACCCCGTCTGGGAGCCCCCGCGCCTCGGCCTCCCTCCACACCTCCTCCGGCATGAAGGACAGCGTGCCAGACACCGGCGACGCCTCGGGGATCGGCGGGCGGGCGCCCCCTCCTCCTCCTCTCCTCTCTCCTCCTCCTCCTCCTCCTCCTCCTCCTCTCCTCTTCTCGTCCTCCTCTCCTCCCTCCTCCCCCTCGTCCTCCTACCTAGTCCTTCCTCCTCCTCTCCTCCTCCCCTCCTCCTTCCTCCTCCTCCTCCTCCTCTCCTCCTCACACCCTCCTCCCAACTCCTCCCCCCTCCCTCCCATCATCCTCCCCTCCTCCACTCCTCCTTCCTCCTCCTCCTCCTCCTCCTCCTCCTCCCCTCCTCCTCTCCTACCTCCTTCCACCTCTCTTCCTACCTCCTCCTCCTCCTCCGTACCTACCCCTGCCTCACTCTCCCTCCTCACTCCTACTCCTCCTCCTCCTCCCCTATCCTCCATCCTCATCCTCCTCCTCACTCCTCCTCCTCATCCTCCGCTACCTCCTCCTACTCCTCCCTCCTCCTAATCCTCCTCCTCCTCCTCCTCCTCCTCCTCCTCTCTCATCACTCCTCCTCCTCCTCTCCCTACCTGCCCCTCCTCCCTAATCCTCCCCTCCTGCCTCCTTCCTCCTCCTCCTCCGACTCCTCCTCCTCCTCATCGCGGTTACGCCTTCTGCTATTGCCCTCGCAGTTGGATCGGGTGTCCGAGGCGAAATGCCGGCTGGCTTGCAGAACAGCCACAAGCACAGGCTACTCAAGAAATGGAGGGTGGTACCCATGCGGCCACGAAGGTAAATGCAAATGTGCGTCCACACCGCACTCTTCGCACTTTCCGTAGATCGCGAGCAGGGATCGCTCCCAGCTCCGCTATCAACTAGAATTTCGGGGGGGGGGAAGCTGTCCGAGAGAACGCATGGCGGCAATGAGATGTATATTGCGGGGCTTTTACTCGCCATGCAATAAGAAGATATGCGTCGACGCTCGGGCCAAACATCGGCGACCTCCTCCCATTTGAGTGATGATGATGATGAGGAGGAGGAGGAGGTGTAAACAGGACGAGGAGGACGGCGACAACGACGGCGACGACGTCGGCGGCGGCGACGACGACGTCGGCGGCGGCGACGACGAGAGGCCTTGGGGAAGTCCGAGGCGATCGGCTCCATGACTGGGGCGTCGATGCAGCCCCGCGGGCTGGCGTCCTCCGAGGCCGCCCCGGGCGGAGGAGAGGACAGGGAAGACATCCCCCTCCATCTTCCCCCTCCCCCTCCTCCTCCTCCTCCTCCTCCTCCTCCGTAGCTCCTCCTCCTCCTCCTCATCATCCTCCTCCTCGTCCTCCTGCTCATGCTCCTCCTGTTCCTCCGCCTTATCATCCTCCTCCTCCTCCTGCCCCCTGCTCCTCCTCCTCCTTCCCATTCCTCCCTTCCTTCCTCCTTCCTCCTCCTCCTCCTCTCATACTGCTCCTCCTTCCTCATCCTTCTCCTCGTCCTCGTCCTCGTCCTCGTCCTCCTCCCCCTTTTCTTATTCCTGATCATCGATCCTTCTGCGTAAATGGCCCTACTCTCCACCGCAGCGGCCCCATAGCTGGCCAATCCGGACCGTCCCATCCGAACTTCCCAAAACAAACAACATGCAAAATGAGCAGCAGGAGTGAGACGGGGCGCCCGTGTCGCATCCGACCAATCCGAGCGGTCCATCATACCTTATGAAAACCATACAACGATGACGCTTGTTGCTTTAAACGTACACGTTGTATCGTCCACGTTGCAATATGTGTGACGCGAATGGGACAGGGCGCGCATCCCGCGCGAAAGGGCGAAACGCCGTGGTTATCGAAAAAAACGCCCATCCGTACTTCTCGTTGTAGCGCGTCCAACCCCGGGCCCCAATTTCAAAGTTGGGGGCGTTCGACGCGGGGGAGTGCGAATCGTTTCGAAATAAGCGCCCACTTTTGCAAAACGCTTCCTGCACGACAGGATGAATATTGAAATTGAGGGCGTGGGGGGCGAGCTTGCGCCGCCCTTGAACTTTGCCGATGGGCGTTTTTTTCCGAAAACGCCGGCGACGGTCTCGCCTCGGCGCCGCGCCCATGATTCAGCGAATGGTAATCCCGCTTTGGCGCGGGGCACGTTTTTCGCACGCAACTTCGTCGACAAGCGAGCGGGCGGCAATCTGGCTCTCGCCTGGGCGCCGCGCAGACTTCGCCTGAAAGTGGCGCTCCCGCCTCGGCAGGCGCGTATGTATATTTGTCGGCCCCGCGCAAACAAACAGGGTGTTGCCGTCGCCCGGGTTTCGTTGGCATTGCGCACAGAAGTGGCGATCCCGTGCGGCGGCGGCGCACGGTTCGTTCGCCGCCTCGCGCGAAGAGGCAGCGACAGCGGGGCCACTCGAGAATGGGCGAAACACCTACCTCGCCGAAGCGCCGCGACGCTTGCGAGTGAACGTGGCAGTGGTGTGTCGGCGATGAGACAAGCACCAGCCCCACGGTCCAATTGTGCCGATCGTGTTTTCAATGGTGTGCGCGGTCGGGTGGACATGGGCATACCGCACTCATGCGCTCGCCTTGGTAACTCGTCTTATACACACTCCTACTCTCCATCACAACCGCCCGATCACCGCCACATCGGGGACCTTCCATTTTACGTGCGAGGAAATCTGCAAACCCGACGGCTTCGTCTCGCGGACATTGCGTCGCCCATGCGGCACGAATGGGACGGGGCGCGCATCCCGCACGAAAGGCCGAAATGTCGCTTTCGCCTCGGCGACGCGGCCACGATTCTAGAGAATGAGTTCCCGCGTGGACGTGGCGCATATTTGTCGCACGCAACTTCGTCGAGGCGCGAACGGACGAACATGTAGCTCTTGTTTCGGCGCCGCCTCGGCGCGGCGCATATTTCTCAGCCGCCAATGTTTGGGAGCCCGCGCGGTTTGTCCCACGCTCCGTGCGCACTCCTTCGCAAGTGGTGGCCCGACGGGACGCGGCGCACGACTCGGCCGCCGCCCCGCGCGGGAAAGGCCGCGGCCGCGGGGCCGCGCAGGAACGGGCGACAGGACAACCTCGCCCCAGCGCCGCGCAGCGTGCGAGAGAAAGCGGCAGTGCCGTGCCGCCGCGGCGCATGCCTCGCCTCCGCCGCACCCCGCCTCGGAAGCCGTGCCGCGCCCGCGCCCCTGCGCCCGGCGCGGCCCGAGCGGCTCTTTCGGTCGCTCGAGAGCTGCGGCCGCGGGGCCGCGCGCGAGCGCCCCGTCCCCCCTTTTCCACCTCGCGAGGCGGGGGCGCGCTCCAGTCGCAACGCAGCAAGCTGTGCCACAAGGCAGGGCTGGGCTGCGGGAGGAGGGGCGTGGCGGGGCCCGCAGGCTCGCTCGACCTGGCTGGAAAAACCCACTGCTCCAAGTTGAAAGCCTCCCCCCCCCCCTTTCTGCCAACCCAGCCAGCCGACGGCAACTCCCATCCATGGGGGGGGGCGGCCCGCCTGTCGGCAAGCAAAACAGAATCCATGATTCAATGATTTTCGTTTCGGCATGGGCTCGTTGTCGTCCGCGTTGCAGAATGTGCGGCGGGACTGGGGCGAGGCGCGCATCCCGCGCGAGAGGCCGAAATGCCGCTCTCGCCTCGGCGACGCGGCCACGTACTTCCCGCACGCAGTGTCGTCGCCGCGCGAGCGGGGCAGAATGTAGCTCTCGCCTGGGCGCCGCGCAGATTTCGCCCGCAAGTGCCGCTCCAGCCCAAGCGGGGCACTTGCTCGTCACTCTCAACTTGTGTTGGCCCCGCGCGAGCAAACGAAGCGTCGCCCACGCCAAACCTCCGCACGCACCTCGTTCGGACGTGGTGCCCCCCCGCGGGGCGCGGCGCACGGCTCACCCGCCGAAGCGCGCGAAGGCAAGAGAGGCAGCGGGGTCGCGCGAGCGCGGGCGACATGCCGACCTCGCCTACGCGCCGCGACGCTTGTGAGTGAACGTGGCAGTGCTGTGTCAGCGCGGCGCATGCTTCGTCTTCACCGCGCCCATCGGAAGATGTGCGGCCCCGGCCCCTGCGCGGCCCGCGTAGCTGTCCCTTCGCCACGTCGTCGGAAGCGGGGCCGCACGCGACCGCCTTCGAGTTGCGAGGTGGGAACGCCGAGTGGGAATGGGAATGGGCGGGCCCCCCTGACTGGCTCGACCTGGCCAGTTTGATTCCTCCTCCTCCTCCCACTCCCCCTCCTCCTCCTCCTCCCACTCCCCCTCCTCCTCCTCCTGCTCCTCCTCCTCCCACCTCCTCCATCCCCTGTGTTATGAGTAGCTCCTCCCTGTCGCACCCGCAGGCGTTGTCCGCAGGGCGGGCCGTGCGTGACGCCTGGCACCTCACCACCACCGGCTGCGTCAAGGATGGACGGCGGTGGAGTATCAAAGCGTACCTGTCGGGGCGTTGACCTAAGGAACCCTAAATAAGGAACGAGGCCCCTCTTCCCCATAGGTTGAACTTCGATCTTCCATGGAAAACCTCATAAAAAACCTAAGGCAAGCTGTAGAACAACTAAGGAACACCGAGCCCCTCCCCAACGAGAAGGGTTCCTTCTTCAGGGCCCCGACTGTACCTGTCGCGTCAGCGCCACGCACATTCGCCTGAAAAGTTCGCCATCGCGTCACACATGGAGGGCGGGCTGTTTTCAAACTGTGGCCCTCGCCCCGGCACCGCGCGCAGCTGTCTGAATCATTCGCAGCAATTCCACAAATGGAGGACGGATGTGTTCAACATGTGGATGCCGTTTTAGCACCACGAAGATTCGTCTTAAGAGTTTGCAGCAGTTGTAAAGATTCGCATGTTTGGAGTCCCAAGAATGGCGTGCTGGCATGCTTTAGGATTGTCAGAACACGACGGTCACGTTTGTTCGCAGTGCTCATGTCCCAGACACGGCGTTCTAGAACGAGTTCGGAGTCAAAACGCGACAGTCGCGTGGCTTCTCTGTACGACGGGGGACCTCTCACTGAGGCATTCCCCGAAATTAGAAATCGGAGGTTGGGGGGTGAGATCGAAGTGGAACGGAGAGCCCCCTACCAGGAAATCGATTTCGGTTTCGTGTTCGTGCGTGCCGTGCGGGCGAGGCGAAGCTGCGTGGGCGGGCGAGAGAACGTCTCCTGTGGCTGAGGCGCGGCCGGACCAAATGTCTCCCTTCCGGGCGGCCGGGGGCCCGCGGTGTCCCGCCGGTGTCCCGCTGGTGTCCCGTGTGGCTGAGGCGCGGCCGGACCAAATGATTCCTTTCCGGGCGGCCGGGGCCCCGCGGTGTCCCGCCGGTGTCCCGCGGTGTCCCGCGGTGTCCCGCCTGTGTCCCGCGGTGTCCCGCGGTGTCCCGCCGGTGTCCCGCGGTGTCCCGCGAGGATGATGATGATGAGATGATGATGATGATGATGATGATGATGATGAGGATGATGATGATGATGATGAGATGAGATGATGATGGTGTCCCGATGAAGATGATGATGATGTTGATGATGGTGTCGATGATGATGATAGTGTCCCGATGATGAGGATGATGATGCTCATGATGATTATGTTGATGATGATGACGATGATGGTGTCCCGATGATGATGATGATGATGATGATGATGATGATGATGATGATGATGATGATGATGATGATGATGATGATGATGATGATTCCGATGATTCCGATGATGTTGGTGATGATGATGTTGATGGAAATGGTGTCCCGGCGATAATGATGTTGATGATGATGATGTTGATGATGATTATGGTGTCCCGATGATGATGCTGATGATGATGATGATGGTGATGGTGATGATGATGATGATGATGATGATGATGATGATGATGATGGTGATGCTGATGGTGTCCCGATGATGATAATAATGATAATGACGATGTTGATGATGATGTTGCTCATGATGATGATGGTGCCCCAATGATGATGATGTTGTTGATGATGATGTCGATGATGATGATGCGATGATCATGATGATGATGGTGTCCCGAGGATGATGACGATGTTGATGATAATGTTGATGATGGGAACGATGGTGATCATGATGGTGTCCCGATTATGATGATGATTATGATGATGCTGCTGATGATGATGACGATGACTGTGTCCCGATGATGATGATGATGATGTTGATGATGAGATGATGATGGTGATGATGATGATGTTTATGTTGTCCCGATGATGATGCTGACGTTGATGATGATGTTTATGATGATGATGACGG